CCCTCCCGGCGCGGCGGCGGCTCCCGTTCGGCTGCGGGCGCGGGAGGTTACCTTTCTTCGTTCCACCCGTGAACCGTTTGACTTTGGTTGTTCGCTTTGCTGAAGCGAGTCTCTAGGGATTTCTCGTGTATTCGCAGGTTTTTCCCGTGACTGCCAGCGTGCGCTCCTCCGGTGCGAGCGCTGCGGACGCGGCCTCTCCTTCCTCCCCGCCCAGCCCCGCCGCAGGGCCTGGCAGCCGCCGTGTCTGCGGGGGGCTCCGGGGGAAGCCGAGGGTGACGGCCAGCCACGCTCGGGAACGGGGCAACGCGAACTGCTGGCTCACTGTGACCGGCCGCTGTCGGTGTCGGGAGGACGTGGGCTCTAGCACCGGTGGATGTAAAGCAGTGCTGGAGGGAAAAGCGCTTTCCAGGAAAACCTTCGGGTGCGAGGTCCCTCTGACATGAGGCATTAGTGACACAGTGCATGCTGTGCCACCTGGGTCTCGTATGTGACCTTGTAAGGAAGACTGAAAATGTGTTGCAGGAGCATGTTTATATATTCTTGTAATTGTTTCTTAAGGTATATGGACATACAGTGGCACACTGGAAAAGTAAGTTGAGCCAGATGAAGGCAGCAAGTACTGGGAGCACAGTATGTAAGACCCCGCTCCTTTCGCTACAAACCCTATGGTGGTAAACGGTGGCTGAAACTTGGCAAACAAATTTAACAGTGGCTCATGTACTTAGTGCCTGAAGAAAATGGAAACACACTAAGGAGCTTGTAGAAATTTTTAAGATGTTGTCTTTAGCTTTTTCTTTGCATTTTATGTATATTCTTACCTTATAGAAGGGGAGAATGACCTCAGAATATTTCATTTCAGAAATCCACATTCTCACTGTTTCTCTTTGCGGGGGGGGGGGGTGGAATCTATGATGAAAGCATGAAGGACTCCAAAGTGGTACTCTTTCAGACACCAAGAATGAAAACACTCACTGCTAGTCACTTCCAGCATGACAACAATCTGGCAACCCCATAGAGAGATGTTAAGTAAGAGCTGGATGGGCAGCCTAATTCACATCACTACTAACAATGTAGTTTATTAACTGTTTGTAACTCTGTTCCTACTTTGTAATCAAAAATTGCAAGTTTTGCTTGGACAGTGTAAAAATAAGACTGCCTCAAAACAGGACACATTGGAAAGATGATTGTAGATAGAATGCTGGCAGCAGAGAAATTATGCAGCATTGTCTCAGCCCTTTGACATAGAGTATAAATACCCCATTCTGTATATCTGACATACGAGTCTGCCTTGTGTGTGACATTGTCATACTGCTGCCTGATACTCAATTGCAACAGAGGCCACTTCAGTTCAGACAGTGGGGAAAAACATAACCTGACAAAGTAGACACTGAAATAAACTGCCATAGGAAACTGCAGACTCTAAACCCATATCCATGTGGTATGGCATGGCTAGAATCAAATGTGCCTTAAGTCAGGCTAGCCCAGGTTATGGACCAAGCTCTTTCCAGGTCCATTTCCTGCAATGAGATGTCAATGAGGAGCCAAATGTGTGCTAGAAAATACAATGTTGGAGGTTAGGGATATGACGGAGAATTACAGTAGTAAGGTGATGCATTCTTACAACACTTCCATGGATTTGCAGCTCATAGAATAAAAATAATCTCTGTATTTACCTAATTGAATTATCTTAATGATGCAGAAAACAGAGATGCCAGATCCTTTTCATTCAAGCCATGTCCTGACACACTTGGCAACATGATGTCTGGCAAGTTTCTCCAGCTAACCCTTTGTTCAATTCAGTTACTGTTGCCTCTAAATTGAATTTCCTGGATTCCACAAATTAGGAGCATGAGAGGACATGTGACATACACTACAAATGTGTTTCGCTAAAAGCTTTGCAAAGGTATTACAGGCACAGTTGATAAGTCACGTCTATCTGAAATCAAAGCTTGTTGCTGTACTGGTACCATCAGCCATATGTAACACTAGAATGCACGTGTGTTCACACTGGCTTTCATGGGCTGCCCCAGAATCAGAAGCAATGGAAGCAGCAGATACTTGCACAGAATTCTTTCCAATAAACCATGCAAACAATCAGAAAGTTAAATATGTGAAGTTATGTCATAATCTGCATGTTTTGGATGGGTCATGGTTTTGTTTTATTTGATATCTTGACTAACTGCAAATTTTTCAGTTTATTTTTGCAGTCTTCTGTTTTAAGTTTGTAATGAGGAAGAGTGACAAAGTTGCTATACATAGTATATGTACCAAATCAACAAATACATTTTGTTAAAGGTAGGCCAGATTTCTGTAATTTTCTTGCCCTTTATTGATTCCACTGGAGTACTTGAAATTAGATGGGGCAGATTTTTCCGTCATCTGAAGTGTCGTGGTTTAACCCCAGCCAGCAACCAAGCACCACGCAGCCACTCACTCACTCCCCCCCCATCCAGTGGGATGGGGGAGAAAATCAGGAAAAGAAGTAAAACTCGTGGGTTGAGATAAGAACAGTTTGATAGAACAGAAAAGAAGAAACTAATAATGATAATGATAACACTAATAAAATGACAACAGTAGTAATAAGAGGATTGAAATGTACAAATGATGCGCAGGGCAATTGCTCACCACCCGCCGACCGACACCCAGCCAGTCCCTGAGCAGCGATTCCCTGCCCCCCACTTCCCAGTTCCTAAACTAGATGGGACATCCCATGGTATGGAATACACTGTTGGCCAGTTTGGGTCAGGTGCCCTAGCTGGGCATGAGAAGCTGAAAAATCCTTGACTATAGTCTAAACACTACTGAGCAACAACTGAAAACATCAGTGTTACCAACATTCTTCACATACTGAACTCAAAACATAGCACTGTACCAGCTACTAGGAAGACAGTTAACTCTATCCCAGCTGAAACCGGGACATGAAGAATTTAAGATAAATAATAAGTCCTTTGCTAAAAAAGTATACTGTCACCCAACAACTTCATGGAATGATTGAGCAGGTTTCCTTAGCCTGTGTGATGCAGTGGGGCAGACTAGATAATCAGAAGATCACCTCCAAAAACAATAAACTTACATTCTGGTCCCAGAGACTGAGCCAGAGGTAAGGGATTGCAGTAAGCTTCAGTCTCATAATACATCTACAAATCCTTCCTAAAATATTTTTTTTTTCATTAGGACTGTTCACAACTCACTCTGATGTGCCACCTAGAATTTCAGTGGCTATCATTATCAGTCCAGTTCCTATCTGGAGCCACAGGAGGATGTTTCTTATCTAGGAAAAACCACATTTGGGCCTGTTTCTTCAAGAAAAAAAGAAAATCAGGAAGGAAGCTGTCATGACAAACAACTAAAATTCAATTATATTTTATAGGATGGGACATTTACAATTACTTTGCTTTGTGTAACACTATTGCTAATGTAAGCAGTCACTAAAACATGAAAATTTCAATTGAATATCTGTATTTGAAAAGACACAGAAAAATAAGAGTCAAAAACTGTCACAGAGGTATGGTTGTCAAGTAACAAGGGCAGGTGAAAGGTGACTGGCAGACATGTCTACTCATAAAATAATAATTCAGGTCACCTGGGAGGACTCCTGTATTTTAGATGTTCAGTTAGTTTAATGTAGAAAAATCAGGTGCTTCTCCAACAGGAAGATGACTGAATGCAGCTCCAAAATCCTTGGATTTGAACCTCTCTCCGTACTCCTATGTTTATAAAGCACTCTTGGTTTCTGGGAACATGGAACGGTCATTTTAACATCCTCCTCCTTGTTCCTCATTAATGCAACGTCTCCTGATCCCTCCATCTCTCAAGAGTTTCACTGCAGTGAGGTTCACAGATGGTGCATACACAGAATAGGGGCATGAGAGCACACAGGACAGAAGCTAGTCATGTGGCTTAATCCATAAACAGAAGGCACACAGGTATCATAGGCACAGTATAAGAACCTGAGGAGAAAAGTCTATGGTCTGGATCATTTTCTGAATGTATCAATTCACTTACTGAACTTTAAGTACAGGCCCCATCTATGTGACTTTTCAAAAGCAGAGAATACTAGACATTATTAGAATCAATAAAAAATAGCCAGCCAGATCACCTCTATAACTTCTTTCCAAATTCAGTGCCACCTTGAATGGGAAAAAGATGTCAAATGGGAGTTTCCAGTGCATTTGGGGCTGGCCTCGTGGAGGTTCTGGCCATTCTGTCATGTCAGTGAAGGTAACGACAGTTGTCAAAGGTACCCTGCTTGTGCTTAGTAGCTGTAACAAGAAGGAAAGCATGAAGAGTTTAGCAAGCTTAATACAAAAGATACATCCCTCCTCAATCTGCTAATGGAGGCCTACTGTAGATGACTGGCAAGCAAGATGTCTTTAGGATGGTAGGAGTTCAGTGTTCCAGATATGTTTTTTAGTGGAGTAACTCCTCTTCCCTAACATTGATACTTAGCAGGTAAATTGAGGGCACAGGTCTCAGGAAAGATCAGTAGCTACTGTGCATCATATGTTACAGATCTCCAGAATGGAAGCAGTGACTCAAGCTCTGCCCAAGTAAGCCTTCTATTCAGAGGAAAGACGTATCAGCTAGTTGGTAATAAGAACAGAAGCAAAGCTAGCTTTATTTTTTCTAAGATTAGTTATTTTATGTAAGATAAGACCACCTGGCCCTTTGAACAGGTGATTGCTGCCAGAAATAGACAGGACTGCCAAAAGATTTGATTCTTTCAATAAAATATCAATAAAATAAAGCAGGGACCCAATACAACACTGAATTTATTTCTCACATTTTAGGATATTGTTTCAGAAAGGAGACAGATTGGTAGGCCAGTTGGTAAAGATGGAACAGGGGACTGAACTTCTAAGGCCTCAGTTCCTTTCTGTTTCAACAGAATGCTGTAAGACAACTAATACACTCACTCCTGGAGCTATGTGGAGTTTCATGGCTAGCTTGGGCTGATTTAAGACCATGCTGCTTCCAAAAGAGCAACCTCACTCCCTGCCCTGGCTGCCCAGATCTTCATGCTAACCTCAAGAGAGGGAATCTACTGGCAGCATACCTTCTGTGTTTGCACTGGTTAAACTCATCTGTGAAATCACCACCTCATTCACTTCCCAATTTGGAAGATTGCCTTTAGAGCAAAGTTGTGCAGAAAGCATTCAAAAAAGCTCCAAGACAGAATTCATGACTCTTAAGAGAAAAATACTGAGACTCTTGTTGGGGAATTTTTGTGGTATTTCTAGAGGCAAATTAAAAACACTTTTGTGCTTAAATATAAAAGAAAAATGTAATAAACAATGCATTGGCCAGAGTCCTACCACAACACATGGTTCTACATGGAGTCTGTAAAGATGCTTCATGAGGAGATTCCTTAGGTACGCCTGCACCAGCACCAATCTGAAGACCGTCAGCATGGGGCACCTCAGCCCAACTGCAGGTCCATCCCCCAGCCCAGCTTTGCTGTCCAAAAGTGGCCCCTGAGCATTCCCATTCCAGGATGGCTACAAGACAATGCTGAGGCTGTTTCTTATCACCAAGGGAAACTTCACTCCCTTGCAAGGAGTATGTCTCTGGCATTCCTGCTTCCAGGCAGTTTAACACCTTCTTGCAGCTAGGCCTTGTTGCCCTCTGTGCCAGATCATTCCTCAGTCACAAATTACCACTGCTGAGCAGTTACAGTTAGAATTTCCCCTTCACTCCTGATGGATATAAGTTCTCCTATCAATGAGTAAACACATAACAGGCACAATTGTCTTAGTCAACAGGAAGCCTCAAAATGATTTTGGCTTTGTGTCTGGACCTTCAAAATCTGCCTTAAAGTCAGAGAGATCAGTGGGGAAAAAAACCCATACACAACCCCTCCTCAACAGCTGGCAGAAGGCAGCCACAAGCAACTTCCAGCATGCTCCCGTATAGCTCTACATCATTTAAAACTGTCTTGTATTTTTGGGAAGTCCAAATACAACTGTGACCAGATATTGTGGATGGGTGTAGAAAATGGGATGTCTTTCCTGGGTTCTGTGTTTTCTGGTCAGTCACTAAGGCAACTGTCCAGTGACACAGTGTGGTCTAAAGGAAAAGGTTTTCTCTAAAGAATGCATAGTTCTTGGATAGAGAACCTGTAGGCTAAAACTGGGAAGCGACATAATGTAAAAGAAAAGCAATATACAACACACATTGGTGATCTCACCGATATGCTTACAAATGGCTGCAATTCTTAACTGCTGGGTATGGTACCGACTGGTACCTTTGCTAAAATGTCTTTACTAACAACCCTAACTTGTGGATTGCCACTGATTAAGTCACTATTAATTTTAATGGTGTGTTTTCTTCTTGCTGCCAGAAACTTGCTTTCTTATAACTTGTTTTGCAATATACCTTACAGCTCTAAAGTAACTAGCATCAGTTGCTCAAGCAGATGAAATCTGAATCTCATAGTTCTTGACTGGCTAATCCTTACGGAGGGATATGCACCCTGCACTTTTACTAGGAATGCAAGTCTTCCTCCTCAGACAGGAGTTTTGTTAATGGAGCCATGTAACAGCTCAGATTTAGAAGATACTTTCATGGGGCCAGGGTGTCAGTTTGCCTCAGGACAACATGTGTTTTACAAGGTGAACAATTTCCTATCACATGCTTTTCACATATGTTGCAAGAAGGGAAGACGACGAGGTACCATGAGACACATCCAAACAAGTGATGTAAAATCTCATTTAGACTGAGGCTGAAGTTCAAAGAGTAGTAACAGATCAGACAGACACTTGCCATGTCATACTTCACTGCCATGAGAACGCCATGGGCAGGTGTCAGCTGCTCCCCCTAAAGCCCTTGCAGAGAAGTATAAGCCTTGAAATACATGTGCTGCTCAAAGGACTCTGTGGTGCCAAGAATCCAGCCTCACACCAAAATGGGATCCACTGACATATGCTTGAAAAAGACTACTCATTCTCCTTTGCAGAGCTGTTAGCTCCACCTTCCTGCTGACATCACAGAATCACAGAATGGTTTGGGTTGGAAAGGACCTTTAAAGGTTGTCTAGTCCAACACCCCTACAATGAGCAGGGACATCTTCAACTAGATCAGGTTGCTCAGAGCCCCGTCCAACCTGACCCTGAATGTTTCCATCACGTAATCTTCTCTTAGAAACCTGCCTTCTGGCTTACAACCTTTCTCCCTAATTTTTCAAATCTGCTGCCATCAGCATTAGCCTCTTCCTCAGCTACTTGCTGGTGATTTCAGAACCCCTAGAAGAACAGACATATCTTCTCGCACAGACTATCAGCATGCTATGGAGTCTATGAAATATAAATCAACTCAGAATCCATATCAAGACTTTAAGAGACAACTAGATAAACATGTAGTTATTGAATGTTTGTAACTACAACTTTATACCAAGCATAATTAAAAGTTTAAAGTTTGAGTCCTTAAGTGGCAGAAGGTGGTTTGGGTTTGGAAAGAAGGTACCTTTTCCAGTTGTACAACTGATTGAGGACAGTACTGATAAGATCATAAAACCACCTTCCTCTGCAAAGCTGTAAATACAAACTCTTGCCATTGCAGCCAGACCACCACTAATGTTCAGTAAATCTCAACTCAGTAATATCAAGACCATTTGATTCCTTGGTTCTTATATAACCTGTGAATCCCACTTAATTACCTCTGTGTGTGAGGGAGGAGTTATAAATTCCATACCTTCAGGGGGTGACACTGATAAAAGTACCGTGCACCCAGTATTTGAGCTTGTGGGTTGGACAGGAGGCCCACCTTCGTCCACAATATCTGTATCTCCAGGGTCACAGGAACCATGCAACAGGAAGTGCAATTCACAGCCTGAAAATAAAATATACCCCAAACATCTTAATATAGTATTTTAAAGGTGAAAAAGGACCGTGATGGTCAAAGTCTAGTATTTTGGATAGCATAGGTCACAGAACCTGAATCAGTCACTTCAGCACTAACCCCATAACTTCTGGTCAGGTCAGCTGTCCATTTTAGAGGTACATCCATCTCACTGTCATCTCATTTCCAAACAGAATTTGTCTCAGCTCTACCACTTGGATTTTGCATTCTATTAGGCCATCTCCTGACAGATTAATAGTTATTAAAATAGAATTTCCCTCCTCCGTAAGTACTTGGATCGCAAACTTTTACCCTTATTAGATAATATATAAATATCCCTAGAAACTGGAAAATCAGAAAGGATGATAATTATAAAAACAGTTAATAGGAAGTAACCAGGTAGTATTATTTCTAGAAGGCCGTCAGCAAACTAAGTAATGCAACACCAGATTCAGTATAAAACTCTTTTTGCCATTTAAATAGCAGAAACAAGATCCAAGAGATTAAATCTGTCAGGGTTGGGGTTTTTTTGTTTAGTAAGTATCCTAATAATATGAACCATAATAAGAATGACTGCTTACAGGCATGAAGACTCTTGAGAGTCAGTGGGTCACCACACAAAGAAAATAAGCCCGGATAAACAAGCTGGTTCTTTTTTTCCCATGCCCACGCTTCCCCAGGGCAATACAAAGATAGGAAAGGAAAAATATTCACAGCTGATGCTTTTGCGTTCATATTACCTGCACACTGCACTTCTGAATCAGAATGGTTGTCCACTCTTCTGCCTGGGTTGAATGAGCACTACCAGTTATAGCAAGGTCCTCTGCTCTGTTCATCCCCTGAAAAGCCTTGTATAACTTCTGCTGGATGTAACTACAGTTACTTTCTTCCAGTATTGGGGATAGGCTGGAAATGAGAAAAATAACAGCTTTGACAAAATGATTTCCAGGACAGAAAAAAAATGCTATCAACATCCTTCCTTTGTAATGAGTATTTCTTCCACTCTTGTAATGAGTGAACAGAATCATGACAGAAGTATTGGTATTAAATGGATGCAGTTTCCATCCTCTCTGCAATGAGAAGGGAGAAGAAGAACATGGCAGGGTAATGCATGATAAGGAAAACTGACAGCTCTTTAGCCATCTTACCACATCAGTGATCATATACCTGCCCTGTCGCCAACAAAAGAATGACCCAAATCATCAAAACAATCACTTTTTAAGGTTCCATTATAATTCACTCCTCAAATACAAACTCTACGCTTGCCCAAGACATGCTGCCAGACTACAGCCTCAAAATGTCCCAGAAGACCTTCACAATGTTCAGATTGTTCTAGAGGTACGCCATCTCTCTGACATTCAAGTCCTCTTAGGAATATATGAAAGATCTGCAGAGACCCATTGAGTGACCTCAGGGAAGGACCTAGGCTCCACAGCAGTGCATGAGAGACTACGGAAAAATGTGCTAAGCGAGTTCACACCTTCTAAATGCAACAGGAAGGATGACTGCAGAGTGTCTTATTACCTGAGCTTGCAGTCTGTCCTCATATTTCTTCCAAATTGTACTGTGTGTCTGATGAACTGTGAGCAACTTCCATCACCTTCGCTCCGTAAAATGCTCATCTGTCAGACTGCATGTCAAGAAGCCAAACAAAAGCATAAACAGACAATATAGGACACCCAACTTGTATTTAACAGTCCTCTCACCCCACATTCCTCCTTATCCCTATCACAGGACTAGAATTCAGTCGTGACCAAAAGGCCTGCTGATGGCTGCAACATAATACTGACGTATGCCCTCACAGGTAAAGGTAGAATCTCAAAAGTCCAGACAGTAGAATACCAGAAGTCAATAAACTCAGTGATAAATAAAACTTGATAGCAGAAAAAGGATACATGCTGCTTGGCACCACTGTTTGCAATCAACAGTGGTGCTCCAGTGATATAGCCAGGGTTTCCACTTCTAGGCAACATATGAGAAAGAGTCCTGGTCTACAAAGAGGCAAAGGGAAGAAGGAAAGGAAGAGGAAAACATTAGCACCAACAAGATCCATTCACCTCAGAAGATCAAATTCACGTTCTCAAAAATGTAAATGTAACCCATTTTTTGAATGACTGAATATTATGCACTACTAAAACCTCCACTATTTGTTTCCACATCGTCTTTCTAACCCGGCAAGTTCATCTGCAGTCCAGGAGGTAAAAAACTAAATGTCAGCACCCTGAAATGTGTATACTACCAGGACAGTTCTTGAGACAATAAATTCCTGTTGCTCAGCATTTGTCTCTAAGGAAGTGAACATACCAGTCTAGGCAATTCTAAAGATGATCTGCAGAACAAACCCTGCCTTGACCCCAACTCTGAGTGGCAGATTCCACTTCTAAATTGTTTTATGGGGAGAGCCTCTGGGGGTAACTTCAGCAAGGTTGCGCTGCACTTAGCAACCCCTGAGGTCACCACTTATCCCACTTTACATTGCCTCTATGGAACAGGGTTTATATGAATTTCAACATACATCAATATTTCCCAGATTTCCAAGCCCCCCAAAGTAACTTTTTTCCCCACTGCATGGGCAAAGTTAAAATAAGTACCTGGAATAAATTTAGCAACTTTGTTCACAAACACCGAACACCTCAGATATAGCACCAGCTCCAACCCTTTCCTTCAGAAGGCCATGCTGATGACACTGATGTCATCCTCTGCCTTTCTCCCCCCACCAAAAAAAAAACCCAAACGAAATCAAAACAACAGTAAAAAATAGTCAGATAAAAATAATCAGACCTTTCAAACTCGTGATGTGCAAGACTGCATGCTTGCACTGAGCCTGAGTTTGTCTACTAACATGGTTTATTTGAGACCAGAGCAGTGTCCTCTCCTTCTTCTACCAGCTGTATCCCAGGGTTCTGGTACTACCATACTACAGTGTCATTGCTCTAATCTTTTCACATCTCATCTGTACAAAACTGGGTCACAAACTACAGACTACAAACTTGGTAGGAGCCCAGGGAAGATGGAGGCACTGACCCAGAAGTGCAAAGTGAAGTGCTGCTGCAGAGAGGATCCCGAGTTCTCAGAGATGTTGCTCACTTTGAAGCGGACAGAAACACTCTGAATCCCATGTGTGCCACTGAATTCTATCTCATAGATCACCTGAAAGTCCAATTCAGAGAAGAATCAAAGGCAGAGTGAGGTAATAGGGCAATGACTTTAAGCTAGTGTTGAGCTGCCCAAAGGAGAGAAGATTCAGATACCTCTGAAACAACATTGTTACATGTGTTGTCTTTCATGTGGGGAGCTCCAGGTGGTGCGACTGCAGTGACCTTTACCTGGAGACAGTAAGCATATTAACAATTAGCAATTGTTTAAAAGGAGTATGCCTTTCTTACTCTTTTCCACTGCTTTTCCATCCAAGTCAGATTTACCTTCCTGCTGTAGCTGTGATCTGTGGACACATCACCCTGCTCCAGAGGCCCCATTTTTTTTTTCTAAGAAAACAAGTCTCTCCCTGGCTCCAGGCCTATCTATGCCCATTCATTTAAAAGTACACCTTTCCTTATAGCCCTGGGGTTTTTTTTCTATAATGTCACACTTTTGTCCAAAAAAAATCTTGTTTCAGACACAGAACATTCCCATTCTCCCAAGTTCCCAACCCACAGGCATTACTATGAATGCCTAAGATTCCAGATATGTTTTATTTCAGAAGCAGAAATTATTTTCACTGGCAATAGAGACTGACCTTCATGGACTGCACAATGTTGTCATTAATTGGGACCTGGGGAAAACAAACAAATCAACATACAACACCAAAAAACCAACTTTCTGGGTTTGCAAGTGCCTAAAGTCATGAAACCATCACTAAAGAGAGCCTACATATTATATTGACAAAAATTACTTTGTTTATTCCAGATGTGTAAAACTTGCCTTCAATTCGTGATCTAGCAATCACACACATAATCCACAGAAAGCATTTTTAGAACATTGGAAGACAAATTTTGTTCTTGGCCCTGCTCATGACCTGCAGAATGCAGATACTTTAAAATATCAGCATCTTTGATCCATTCCTGTAGCTCCCACTTCCGGAATCAAGTAATTAATTCAGCTTCCATTTAAGGAAAAATTAAATTTTGACCACAGTGACAAAGAAAGACCTGAAAACATGAGTTAAATTTGATCAATAGAAGACACTCTACTACAGTTATGTAAGATTTAGATTTCCAACATAAGGGTAAATTGAGTCATTAGCCTTAACAAGGTGCTAATATTTGCACTGCTGTTTTGTCTTGGAACGCCAGAGAAACTCTATAAGGCGAGAGGAGATATTTTCATGTTAACATTCAGTAAGACCAGCATGATGAACCCAGAACAATAAATCAGTTATTTTGAAATTATGGTCAGGATAAATAATGGAGAAATTGATATGGAATTCAATCTATGAATGTAAACAAAGCTAATATTGATAACTGGCCTTCAGTATGATTTTAGAGATAACATATTGTGTAAAACAAATCCTCATTCTTTACTAAGAACATGCATTGCTTGGTTGATCAAGTTGATGGAACAGATAGAAATACTTTGATAAACAGCCTGTTTAAAATGCGAGACAGTTCTGGTTAAACCATTAAAACTATGAAGTACCTGTTAAACGCATTAAGAATTTGCTAATAACTGAAGTTTATTGGAAAGTGGTTTGAATTGAGGGATTATCACCAATCATGACATTTTTAACAGGATTTCCAGCAAGAAGGCCTTCACAATCCGGAGATCAGGGATGACATACCAGATGACCTTTAGTTTTCCAGTTAGCTGCAGTTGCAATGAAAGGCAATGGAAAGTCAAGCAAATAAGTTGTTGAGCAAAAGGAAGAAATATGACATGCACCTTTAGCACAGTGAAGTCACGGTAGTAGGAGGCAGCATCTAGGGCAGGGTCAGTAATGCAGCTCTTGCTCAAGTTGGCAAAAATCCGAGTACAGCTTGTACTTTTACTGTCCAGGAAGCCTGAGTTAAGACATGACAACAGATAAAAGAGAAGCAAACCACCCTAAGAAGTTCTTCCCCCTTTACTAACCAGCAGGATTTCCATCAACACAAAGTCCACTGGCTCCCATTTTTACTGGCTGTCTAAGCGTGCTCAGTACAGATGATGAATCAAAGTAGATTAGGATTGGGTCACCAGCCTGAAAAGACAATTTGGAGAAATCACAAAGTGACTGTGGAATACTAAGGCCAAGCACAAGGTGATGACATTGTTACAAATATTTTGATAAAAGTTGAATTTTATATAAGCTGGGTTTGATTAAAAGGGTAAAGATTGTAGAACATAGGAGTTTGAAGCTCACAATATAGTCATGGAAACTTAGGAACATACAAAATGTGCTGTATACAATCATAAAAGAATAAGTATTGTCTAAAATTAGTTAACCATAGAAACTTTGACCGATTTGTTAGTTTGTAGTGTTTTGTCCTAAGAAACTAAGAGAGATCGTTATGGACCTTAGTTCTGTTGCTTAGAAACCCCACTTTGATCAAGATTCCAGTTAGTGGAATTAAGTAAGATTAACCAATGAATGTTTTAGTATAAGAATATTGATAAGGTGGTGTGACTGAGGGCCAATCACTAGAAATGTTAAATTTAAGAATTAACATTGAATGTACTTTTTATGTAATCTAATACATGATGGCGAAAATCGTACTGTGCAGAATCACATAAGAGAGGTCAACTATCGGACAAAGTGAGGAAGACTATGGAAGACCACCAGAGGGCTTCTGAAGACCACCAGAGACTTCACCGCACCCGCGTAAAGGGACATTTACATATGCTAATGATTTATCGGACAGTTGATGATTATGTATGACATTTCCCAGAAATTTAGTGAATATGTATAACAGGTGTGTATTTAACCTGCATGATTAAACCAGACAGGTGCACACACTAGGTGGAGTGATCCCCTGTGTGCCCAGCACTGTAATAAAGGAGTGCCTGCTTCTTAACTTCTCATTGCTGTTAAGGGGTTTTATTCCGGATTTCGGCAACAACATCATCAGGGAACAGAGGCAAATTTATACCTCTCCTTAGTGTACACCCAGTTTTGTCTAAAGGATTGTCCAAACTTTTAAATATAAGAAAACTAATCAGAAACCTTTTACACAAAAAGGAATGAAAAGAACTGAGAGATAATATGGATTATGGGTAGAAAAATAAGAATCTTTCAATCTGTTTTCATTAGATCTCATTAAAGACAGCTTTAATAAAAGTGTATCTTTCAACTCACCCGGTAAAAGGCAGAGAATGATGGCTGGACTTCTGACGGTGCTAAGAAAGAGTGTTTGCCATACTTCTCTAAGAACTTACAAAAATCAGATTCTTTGATATCCTGTGGCTGTTGGAAATAGTTCAGCTTTGCTAAAGGTTGAAAAAAGAAAAAAAAATCTGCCAATAACAAATTACTAGAAAAGACAGATCTAAGAAAAAGTAAATATCGTGCCAATATTTTTAAAAGGAACACCTTCAGTAATTATAAGTTAGATAGCGCTTTATATTAATTAATCCATAGTAACACTGCTAGCAGGCTAATATGAGCTATGAACAGGATATCATTAGTACTAGTTTGTACTGTTTCATGGGAAAAAGGTGTTAATACACAAATGTGATTTTCCAAAAAGCATGAAAACTGCGTAAGACAACTCTCTTAACATGTGCTCTAATTTCTGTAAGATGCTCAAATTAGATACACATGACATTTTAATGACAAAACACTACCAATACGCGAGTTCACTAAAAGCAACCTTAAATGGATTCAAAATACTTAAGGTTGGTAAAACTCAAAATAAGTATGACTAGAGAATAGGCATCCTAAAAAAACCCCAGGCTTTCTATTGGTATCCCACAGTGATGCCCTCCTGACCCAGTGGTATTCAGTAGGGTTACAATGTTATAAGGTATTAAATTATTACTGCTAAAACAGTATGTCATAAAATGGCAAATTATTAAGGACATACTATGTAAAATCATCCTAATGGACTTGTTCCACCAATAAACTTTTTAATACATCCAAATAAAACATCTTACAAGGTTCAAGGACTACAGATCATACCAACAACAGGAGTGAGTGGCAGTATCCTCGATTACAGTAATACAGAATTTAGGTAGTCTAGTAGGTTTGGGGGGAGAGAAAAAAAAAACCAAGCAAAACCAAACGAACTTAAGCTTTCAGTGTAATTCTGCTGTTCGAGGGCAGAGCAGATCCTCAGATGTACAGAGGAGCAAGCAGAAATAAAAGCTTTTTTGTATCTGAACACAGCATTAGTCAAGCAGTCAACTAAATCTTTTAAGGAGATAAAGGCCAAAGGATTATTAAGCTCCTACAAGGTTCACAAAATTAGGTGCACAGAGCAGCTTTCTTATTATTCACTTGAGGGTATAATCACCAGACTGAAAAAAGAAAACATTGGTAGTTGTGCTACTCGCAAACATTTCTTTTCTTTGGAATGTAGTTCTTTATGTACTCTTCTATTATCAAAGCTGAATACTTGCTATTGCAGATTAACAATATTACATAATGTAAAATGTACTTAAAAACTGGAAGAAAAGGCCTTCTGCAGCAAAACTTAAGATATCCAAACTGCTTAAGTTTTCAGAGAAAAGACATATAATTTGTTCATAGTGTAGTTTGTTCAAGAAAGCACACTAGCTACTAAAGGCTATTTAATCTTGTAGAAAAATGCAAAAAAGAATTTCAGACAATTTAATTTGTCTGAAACCAGACAAACTTTAAAACAAAACAAAACAGGAGTCAGGCTCGTGGATAACGATTCTTGTAACTTTAAAATGCACTCATACTAGTTCCTCCACTGATTTAGAAGCGGAAATAGCAGCAATATTCTCCTAACAACAACTTTTTCTTTAGCCTTTGCAGGTATCTTGAGGAGCAACTATGTGAAACAAGAATGCTTTTAAAAGTACTTTAAGTATTTTGAAAATACACAGTATTTCCAATTGTCTGTGAGAACTGATCTCTTCCTTTTAATGAATTGTCAGTTGGATCAGCAAGACTGACTGACTCAGTCAGCTATGTGATCATTAGACAAAAGGAACTGTTAGGGATGTGGTCACCTAATGTAGTCACGCTGCTCCATTTAGTATCAATACAGTCCAAAATCAGTTTTAGACATATGTGAAACTCCACCCTTAGCACAAGACAGTACTGGGAAAAAAGGAAGAAAGGGCCACAGAAGGCACAAAAGAAAGAGAAGATTGGGTGTGATGAGCTGTCGAGAAGATTGGGTGTGATGAGCTGTCGAGGTTACAGGCGTACCAGAGTTTTGAACAGCTATCAGATGGAGAACAACAGTATAAAAAAGTAGAAAAATAAATCAGTTGAAGGATGACAATCGTCAGACAAATAGGCAAGAAAGATGACTGGTTGAAGCAAAGGATGCTTTACACTTCAGGAAACACAGCTGAAATAGAGTACTGCAGTCAAGAAAGAATGAGGGCAGTCACGGAAAGAGCCATTAGTGACAAGCAGAGGAAGAAAAAACCCTGCATCTTTTAGAATTATCATAAATAATTATTAGTAAAACTTGAACACTACCCTGGTAGCTGCTAGCAATAGTTTCAACGGGGTGAAGTCAACTTGCGCATCACAATCTCTTTGTTACTGGCCACAGTAATTCATTAGGTTCAAAGCCTGTTCCCACTTGCCCCTTTCCAGGAGGCCCTCTGGAGCAGGCTTGATTATATTTCTAGCAGTGGTAGCTCATGTCACCATTCATCCTGGAAAGGCTTCTTTCACAATCAGTTGATGAGAACACACACATTTCTATATTTCCTTGGGGAAGGCCAAAGGGGAGAAGGCTGTTTCTACCATAAAACTTTATCATCCTTCAGGTGATCCCAGATAAAGTCTTCCCTAGATGTTCTTCCAACAACAAGCACAGAAAAGGCAAGGGCCATGTGAGCAGTGAATCCTGTTGTTCCCAGGTGTGCTACACCCAATGTACACGTGCCATCAAATGTCTAGGGCTTGTTCAGTAGGCCTAATCATGTTGACAGATATGAGATCCAAATATTAAATGGCCAGAAAAATCTGAGCCATCAATCTGGACAGAGACGATCCTTCCTTTGCATGAGATTACAAATTCAGAATCCTTCTAAACCTATTCTTATAATAAATACTATGGGTAGTGTGGGAAAAGGATAAAATTTAGCTAGTTCCAAGTTACAGGCTGGAATACCCAGGAGCCTGATGGCACTTTCAGCTGTGGTTAAACCCTCATCAAAATTCATGTTTATTCTGAGACCTACTGCAAATTGGAACGGGTGAAGTTCTAGCATTACCACCTATCATACTATGTACTATGAGGCTCTCATTGTTTCTTTGCTCTTCCCTGTATGCAAAACATTCAGGCAACATCTGTGAAGAGCTGAATGCAGGACTAGATAATAGGAAGCTAAGCCTGTTTTGACTAGTTGTTGGACCAGATAACCTCCTGAGCCTGAAGCAGATGGGACTGTGGGACAAAACTCCCAGGCAAAAGACTCAAATGAGAAAACGGTAAGTGTTCACATGTGAGACCCTAGTGAATTGCAATGAATGCCAGGGAGTTGGACATCAAATCAGTCAAATGAAGTAAAATGTGAAAAGCAGAAAGAGAAAAAAAGTGTTAATGGCATAGTCTATGATTACCAGAGAAAAATCATTGCCAGCAGAGAAGTATGAAAATATGAAATAAAGAAATAAAGAATCCAAAATATGGTAAGAAATCACTTTCTGAAAGGGATAATAGTGGTATATTTCAAACATCAACCCTTATTTGCTGCTCTAAGTGTAGTAAACTAAGGCAGGCATCTGAGATACAGAAGCAATTGCTGAAGGCTGATTTGTGTTTAGCCAGAGACCCTACCCTTAAACTGAGCGCGATGATCTTTTTTTTTGTTTGTCTTTGGTGATTGGACCCTGATTCACTATGGTCTCTCTGGAACTACAAGAGCCCAAATACTCGGTAACAATTATAACACGTAAGTTTAAAAAAAGATTCTATAAGAAGAGGCAACCTAAGAATTAAATGTGTAGAAAGAAAGGTTACTTACCGTCATCCAGCTGCACACAGAAGAGCAGATCATGTCCACCAGAGACAGCAACGGTATCAGTAGGATAAGGGGTGTTACTTCTGAACATGAGTGATTTTTCCACACACACTTGATTCACAGACCTGCAAAGACAAGTCCCCCAACCCCCAGCAAACCGTTAAAGAGGCTATTCTTGCATAATTTCATATTCTACATTACTAAATACCAGCAACAGAACACAGCTTTACTTTTCATCAGCTTACACGAATTGTTGTACAATTTGCATCGATAATCAATTACAGAAAGCCTCTCTGGTCATTGTAATAACTCTGCGGATACTCTCTATTTTTATATTTAGCAATCGCTCTGAAATTCCCTGGAACAAGAAGTGGTAAAGAAATTCAGTGTCTGTGCGTTACAGCTCCTCGCAACTGCAGTCTGGAAAACCAGGGTTCACCCACATGTCATACTCTCCAAATAGCTGAAGCCGCCTTCCTCACGGACAGCATCTCGCTGTCTGTAACTGCTTTACTGTCTCCCAATTGTATATTAAAGTCCTTTTTCCCCAAGATAAGACTTCCTGGCTCCTGCCGCCGGCAGCCTCATCACAGGGGAACCAGGCCCGGCTTTACCTAGGCCACGAAAGCGCTGGCCACGGGGAGCCTTTCCAAGCCCTCAGCTCAGAAGTAAGCCGTCCCCCGTGTCCGAGAGGCCTGGCAAACACGGCAGCCAAACTAGCGGGGCTGAACTGCCGTTCCCGCCGGCTGCCCGGTCCCCCCGGGCGGCGCCGGCAGCGGAAGAAGGCCGTCCCCAGCCCACCTGCTGCCGCCCGAGAGGCGGGACGAGCCGGCGGCCCCGGGGTCGCGCAGGCCG